GGCCCGCTGGTTGGTTTTTGGCGGCAAGCGAGAAAGAAAAAGGAGAGAGAGAAAACGAAACAAATATATAATATATATATTTATATAGAGAAAATTAGGGTTTAGAAATTTAATTTAAAAAAATAATAATCATGAAAAAATTAATTAATTACGTGAAAATTATCTACACATCAAAACGTACCAGTTGTAGTATTACAACCGATTATACGCAACAATAAAAATAATACTATAAATTGTATAATTAAACAAGAATAATTAGTAAAATATATAATTACTTATATTTAAAATCAAATAATTATAGAATAATTATCTAAGTGATAAAACGTACCAGTTGTGCTAATACGATAGCTGATACGCAACAATTAAAATAATATCATAATTTACACAAATAATACGTAATTAATAATTCAACATAATACATGAAATAATACGTAATGGTAATAATAATACAATGTATTATTTAAAATAGTACATAATAGTATCGATAATACAACAGATAAATTCTAGAAATTTTTACTGCACTAAAAAAATTTATAAATATTAAAATCATTTAAATAAATATAAAACTTGAATTTTAAATCATAGAATTTTGTAGAAAATCAAAAAAATACAAATATTCTTTTTAAAAATAAAAATTAAATATTTTAAAATACCAAAAAATTATTTTAACTAGTATCAAAATTCATGGTCTTTACAAGATACATGTGTGATATTTTAAATTTAATTGTTCAAAGTGTATTTAATAAAATTAAACCCATGATAGAAAAGTTTAGGGTTATAGTTTATGCTCATAATGCTTCTGAACAATGACGTAAAAGATGAAAATAATTGTGCAAAAGCAAAAAATTTAAAACCCAAGTTAATTCCAAAATATGTTGACCACAAATGGAATTTTACCTATATAACGTTAAATGTAGCAATTGAGTATAAATAAATTATAAATAATTTTATTGCTTTCTATGCTTCTAGTTTTATTTCTAGCTTTGGTAGTATTATAAGAATAACTAATGAAGAAAGAACAGTTATATATAGTTGTAGGGTCGAAAAATGTATGATTGAATTCCTTGTTTTAAGAAATGGGTTCGATCACTTAGTATGAATCCCTTACAATCACTCGCTCTCGATTACAGAGGAAGAGAAGGTTAATTTGACTTCTCTTTTATTTAAAAGTGGGTTCTTAGTGGCGAAAGGTTGTTTTTCTCGATGCTCAAGCCGAGATTGCTTCCCGTTGACGATAAGAACAAAATCACAAAAGCTTCTGATGGTCGCTTAGATCACGAGAAGCTTACAATCACTCGCTCTCGATTGTTTTAAGAAATGGGTTCGATCACTTAGTATGAATCCCTTACAATCACTCGTTCTCGATTACAGAGGAAGAGAAGGTTAATTTGACTTCTCTTTTATTTAAAAGTGGGTTCTTAGTTGCGAAAGGATGTTTCTCTCGATGCTCAAGCCGAGATTGCTTCCCGTTGACGATAAGAACAAAATCACAAAAGCTTCTGATGGTTGCTTAGATCACGAGAATGCAGACACTGGTCTTTCTTCACGCGATCGCCAATAACTCCTCTAGATGTTCCTAAAAAAGTCTCTTCTTCATAGCAGCTTCATGGCTATTTATAGAGTTTCAACACGTAACTGACGTGCTAAAATTATAGGTAGAGGGCGTAACTGCCTCCTCCAATTCAGCCCACGTTATTTAATGGGGCGTAACGTGCTCCTGGAGTTTAGCCCGAGTGGCTGACTAGGTCTTCGGCGTTGCTACAGCTGGATCTCCCGCGGACGATGAAACTCGCTGCATGGCGAGGTTCATCTGATTGCACGAGCCTCAATATGTAGTGAGGTTCGTTTGCTAAGGCCAACTTTGCAGTATAGCAAACTCTGTCTTCACTGATGTCATCTGACGAGCTTCGTATTCACTAACGAACTTCGTCTTCGACGGCTGAGTCCAACTGCGTAGCCAGTCTTGTGAGTTTCCTTTTGACGAGTCTTATCTTCATTGATGAGCTTGACGTCTGGTGATGAGTTCTGAACCTCGTATCCAATGATGAGCTTTGAACCTCGTATCCAACGACGAGCTTTGAACCTCATTTCTGATAGAGCTCCTCGCTGAGTGATGAGTCTCCTCTTTGACCAAGACGAAGTTCGTCCCTATGACGACCTTCATCATATCTTGTGGTTTGGCATTTTTAATGCCTACAATAATGTAAAAGAATGCTACAAGTTTTTTATGATGCTACTATATTATTATCTAGTTGTTATTATCCAATTATTATTCAAGCTACTTTACAATGTTTAAATATTCAAACTTTTTTACAAATTATCATATGGATAATTATTTCAGGAATATGATTTTTTTCAAATGGAAAATAAATTTGATAAGTATTGTAGGCCTAATCATATTATTTTTGGTTTGGGAGTGTTTATTGATCCAGTTTGAAGGATGTTAGTCTCCAAATTTTATTAAATTCTTTATATGAGAACATGATAATAGACACTGATGATGGTCGGATTCTTACAACTCTTACTCATCATAATACTATTAAATATTATTTTCAAAGATTATATAAGGAGTATACGGGTTGGTATGGTGTAAGTACACATTAACCTACAACTTCTACTTCTACAAGTTCAAGCTAAGGCAAACGTAAGAGTTTTGATAGGCAATTAATGATAGCGAGGCTAACTAGTAGTTGTGGATCCAGATCTAGATCATCATCAATTGTGTTTCTGAAACTGAACAATATTTAACTACACCTTTAGTTAATAATCAAAATAGTATTTTGATATTTTGTGACGGCGGAGAATATACGGAATAATTTCATATCCTATACTTTCCATCATGGCTCATGACTTCATAATAGTGCATGTTTCTATAATAGCTTCGGAATCCGCCTTCCGCACATCAAGACGTTTGATCGATGATCACAGAATATTATTAGATCTGTCTACCATACATGTAGTAATGTGCCTACAAGATTTGTGGAGATCCGAGAAGATAACTCAATGCATCAATCGGATAGCTAGTATTGAAGATAGACTTGATGAGTTGACAACGGTAGACAGAGATAGAAATTAGATAGTAGAAATTACTCATTAGTTTGTACTTTTTATTTATTAGCTGTAAATTTTTATTTTGGAAAGAGTTACAAATGATAGTGGTATAGATGAGTAAGTGTCCACCTAATTGGGATGTATTCATCTATTGTGATGCGACAAATTCTTAAAAAAATTGTAATTGGTAGTGATTAATAATAAAGAATTTATTTCTTTATCATTTTAATTTGTATGATATTTGTATTTATAAATTATATACTTACAAGTGATTAATAATATGGTTGATTTTTTATGAAAAGTTTACATTTTTTTTTTGCAAAAAAACTACTTTTTAAGAAAAAAAATTCTCGGGTCGGCCCGGACATGGCATGGACCCGGCTCACGCCCAGCGGCCCGTGTCTGGGTACCCCTTTTTGCTCAGTCATGATTTCGGGCTGGGCCGGGCTAACCCCTAGCTGCAGTGATCTATTATTCTTTGTTTACCTCTGAAATAAATTCACAATTGAACGCCAATTATTCATATAAATTTCTTTAGGGAGGTAGTCAAATAGGACTCAAAACTAGAACTAAGATAATCTGTGGGATAAATTTTTTTAGTGTTAATAAACTAGAACTAAAACTAGAATAACATTCTACAATATTAGTCAACTAGAACTCTAGCAAAACTAGAACTGGGATAATTGTACAAATTATCATATTTTTTATTTTTCTATACAAAAATGAGAGTTCTAGGCTCTCAAATTATCCCAAGTTTTAACTTAGAACTAGGTGATAAAAAAATTAGAACTCCTATTTATTTTATTATTTTGTACTGATTATATTTTTTTCTTTACTTCTTTTCCACTATGGTCATCACCATCATTAGACCATACCGTTAGATCAAATCTCATCTCCTCTTAGTCGTCTATGATATTTTCTTTTTTAGGGGGGGGGGTGAGGGAAATGTGAAAACTGTTTGTACTATAATAATAATTAAAAACAACTACAACATATATTATAATAATAATTGTCAATATTTTATAGTCTAACCAAAAATTATTTAATAGTAAATAACATTCTCATAAATGATTATCAATCAATATTAGTAAGTTTAAAATACATAGATAGTATTTATATCCTCAAAATACATAAATATATATTTCATGATTTTAAAAATTTATCCCATGTTATTTTATCAAAATATCATACTTCACAAAATTATTCTTATTTATCCCACTAAAGTATCTCATCAGTAAAAAATTGTTCCACTTTAACAACTATCTCACTTCACATGAAAATGTCTCCATTGACTAACACCCCTTAATACAATAACGAAGCCAAAAGTTCGTTCATCATAGATTTGCGAGTAAACTAATCGCTGAAATATACAAGGGACCCATAAGTAGTATTAAATAAATGAGTCCGCATTCTCATTTAATTATGTGATACCTAGGTTAGACATTTTTAGGGTGTGTGTGTGTGTGAGGAAATGTTCCGTTTAGTTCATTTTACTATTAAAAGATTATGGTAAGTACACCAAACATAATAACAGGTACATGGCAATTTCATAAATGCGACTACGCGGGACATAGTGTTAGGTCTTAATTTCATGTGGGTTCAAAATAAGCTATTTACCTTGTTCTTGTGCTAAAACTTTAAATGCTGTTCATGTACCCGATTTCTTTCAGCTCTCTTACTATCAAGCCATAATATCTGGAAACTGTGAGAAAGTCATGAAGAAAAGGCTCAGGCTGCTCGTCGATGAGCAAAGCATAATTATGTTAACAAAGCCTACAGAAGGATGTATACATCTCATTCAAATTTATTACATAAGTTAAACTGCTAATGGTGTTAAAACACTTATGAAACTCATCAAATAATTCTCAGTCTGTTTGAATACCAAATCCAACGCACACGTTTTAGCATTCCATGAGACTCCCAAGTCCAGTGACTATAAACATATAAAATATGAAGAAGAATTCGAGTTCATATATTAACCAAGTTTAAAATGAACGCTGCAATATCTGATCTTATACTCAGTCTAACACTGCTCGCACGACAATCCTGTTACACCTGTAATCAGACTCCAAACAATCATAAAATCAATAATCGTAGAGCTAACAATCCCATTGCAACTGAAATCAAACACAGAAATAATGAGAAGACTAATCAAATAGCTAACAGCTGCAGACTTCAACTCCAGACAGAATTTTCTCCTTTATGGACAAGTCTTTTAAGGCATTTTGTTCCATTTGTACGGGCACCATCTGCAAGCTAGACGTGCTGCCTCGATGTAATTAGTTTCCTGAAACTATGCAGTCGTCCCTGTAAACCACCTTTTGTCTTCAAGTTCTTTCCCTCTTCCTCTGGCTCGTCATTCTGCAAATTTTGCAAAACAAGAGTTTGATTACCAAAATTTATGCCTAAAATAACATCGTGATAAGCTTGTAGAACAGAAACTTTCTACCTGAAGAAAGGAAGTTTCGACACTGAAGTCACGCACATGGAATTAGTTCATCCCCACCTTTAGGCCCTTTATCAAGAAATTTCATTTATTTAGTATAGTTGAAAACAAAGATATATAACAACAAAGTATACGGGTTTTATCTATATTTACCCCCAAACCAACTCTTGGCACTTTAATAATACCCTCTGAATCCCTAACTTGAGATAAATCTATACTGACTTTTAATGGTCTTTAAATGGTGACAGTTTATCAGTGCCTTTCCAAAATTACCCTCTCCCCCAATTATTCCCTCCAAATGCCCACCACCTCTTCCACTCCTTGGTTAGGTAGAGTTCAGCAATGCTTTCCCTATCTCATAAACGATTTTCATTGATTTCTCAAATAGAAAAGCTTTAATTTTATTTTCAGAAAAATGTATCTGAAAGTGAAGATGAATGAGAAGAGACAGGAGAAAGGTTCATGGGTCATGTGGTTGGTCTTGGAACATGTACTCTTTTCTTTTCTTTCTTTGTTGTGTTTTGTTGTGTTTTGGGGTGGGGGTGGGGGGGAGTGGGGGTTGGGGGGGGTGTTGGGGGGTCTAAGGCTGCAGCCTTTTGGCATTCTTGATTGAGTCGGATAGTTGATAGGCTTTTGCTACAGTTGGGAAATAGAAAAATTCTAGTGAAAGACCTCAAAAAAATGTATTTAAAGAACATTATAAATATAAGATTTAAAGAGGAGGGGTGAACAACTACTTCTTACCTTAGACCAAACGTGGTTATGAATGCAACTTAGCTTTAAACACGAGTCTGCCCTGTCCACATAAATATCCAACACTTAGCATTGGTCTATATAGCAACCCCGATCAAAAGCCATGTCCACATAAATATCCAACTACTTCTTACCTTAGACCAAACGTGGTTATGAATGCAACTTAGCTTTAAACACGAGTCTGCCCTGTCCACATAAATATCCAACACTTAACATTGGTCTATATAGCAACCCCGATCAAAAGCCATGTCAATGAGGGTTCGCTGATCAATTTCTCATACAGTTCTAACATAACAAAAAAAATATTACATAAGATAATACATAAATAAATCAACAAAGAAAAAGTATGTACATGATTGTTTACTTGTAGATTTTCTTGAGATGATGGGGATATCTAGGATAATAGCAATTGAACCGTTTGCAAGGATAATCTTATATCAGAGAACCTGAGACTACAGTCCCAATTCTATCAGATCGTGCCCTAGGTGTTTATTTATAATGACTACTTCCTCGTTGCAACAAAATAACACTGCAATTAGTATGATTATTTACATGCTTTGGACTTACTAAGTGAAATCTATTAAATCAAACCTTAATATATTTTCACTATAGACGTAGGAAGCGAATGATTCAACACATGCAGGCTCTTTCAGAGCAAGGACAACATTTCGAACCCCATACCAGGCTATCCTATCCTTTAGTGATCCTCAATTGCATATGTAATGAGGGGTATCAGCCTAGAAATCCTGCTAAAGTTATTTCTGTAGATTGGTGCTATGAGTGAAATATATCTGAATATTAGAAACAAATGTCATACCTTACTCATATCACTTTCCTCAAATGAACAATACTTGCTCTTTTTTTTGCAATTACAGAAGAAGTTTCGAGAGCAAAGTAATACAACACTTCAAAAATGTTCCTATTCATAACGCGGGCCTGCATAGACAATAAACAACTTAGAAAGATCTCAATAACACTAAACCATGATCCAAGATAACCGCCAAAAAACCAAAAACTATGAAACTACCTGCTCAGATTCATAGGGCATTCCTAATAAAATGAAGGTATCTGCCAAACCCTTGACACCGATCTGAATTGGCCGATGCCACTGGTTCCAACTTTTTGCATTTCCATCATAAAAGGAATTATTATCAAGTAATTTATTCTGGTTGATAGTAATTTCTTTCGTAACCTGTTAAGTGCATAAACCACAAATTATATTAAGTATTAGAACATAATGAGTCCTTAATGTAAAAGAACAAACCTCTACCAGTTTATTCCTATTGAAGAAACGTTCGTTCGATCCAATGCTGACAATAACATCACATGAGCGTCTCTCCAAGGATTTTCTGAGTAGGAACATTTTTGAAGTGTTGTATTACTCTGTTCTAGAAGCTTCTTCTGTAATTGCAGAAAAAGAGCAAGTATTGTTCATTTGAGGAAAGTTGTATGAGTAAGGTATGTCATCTGCTGCTAATATTCATAGATATTTTCTAGTATTCCACTCATAGCACAAATCTACAGAAACAACGTTAGCAAAATTTCTGGGCTGGTACCTCTCATTACATATGCAATTGGGGATCACTAAAGGATAGGATAGCGTGGAATGAGGTTCGAAAGGTTGCCCTCATTGCTCTGAAAGAGCCTGCATGTGTTGAACCATTCGCTTCTTACATCTATAATGAAAAGATATTATGGTTTGCTTTAATAGATATCACTTAGTAAGTCTAAAGCATGTAAATAATCATACTAATTGTAGTGTTATTTTGTTACAGCGAGGAAGTAGTCATTATAAATAAACACCTCGGGCACAATCTGATAAAATTGGGACTGTGGTCTCAGGCTCTCAGAGATAAGATTATCCTTGCAAACGGTTCGATTGCTAATATCCCAGATATCCCCCATCAACTCAAGAAAATCTACATGTAAACAGTCATGTACATATTTTTTCTTCATCGATTTATTTATGTATTATCTTATGTAATATTTTTTTGTTATGCTAGAACTGTATGAGAGATGGATCAGCGGATCCTCATTGACATGGCTTTTGATTGGGGTTGCTATGTAGACCAATGCCAACCGTTGGATATTTATGTGGACAAGGAAAACTCATGGTTAAAGCTAAGTTGCATTCACAGACACGCTTGGTCTAAGTTAAGAAATAGTTGTTCACCCCTCTTTAAATCTTATATTTATAATGTTCTTTAAATACTTTTTTAGGTCTTTCACCAGAATTTTACTGTTTACCAACTTAGCAAAACTATCAACTAGCTCACCAAAGCAATGAGGACAGCATTTCGAACTCCATTCCACATTATCATATCCTTTAGTGATCCCCAATTGCATATGCCATGAGGGGTATCGGCCTAGAAATCATGCTGAAGTTGTTTCTGCAGATTAATGCTATGAGTGGAATACTACAAAATATCTCTGAATATTAGCAGCAGATGTCATATCTTACTCATAGAACTTTCCTCAAATGAACAATACTTGCTCTTTTTTCTGCAATTACAGAACAAGCTCCAAGAGCAGAGTAATATAACACTTCAAAGATGTTCATATTCAGAACGCGGACCTGTATAGACAATAAACAACTTAGAAAGATCTCAATAACACTAAACCAGGACCCCGAGATAACCGCCAAAAAACCCAGAAACTACCTGCTCAGATTCATAGGGCATACCTAACAAAATGAAGGTGTCTGCCAAACCCTTGACACCTATCTGAATTGGCCGATGCCACTGGTTCCACTTTTTTGCATTTCCGTCATAATAGGAATTATTATCAAGTAATTTATTCAGGTTGATAGTAGTTTCTTTCGTAACCTGTTAAGTGCATAAACCAAAAATTATATTTAGTATTAGACCATAACGAGTCCTTAATGTAAAAGAACAAACCTCTGCCAGTTTATTCATATCGAAGAAATGTTCATTCGATCCAATGCTCCCAATAACATCACATGAGCATCTCTCTAAGGATTTTCTGAGAAAATAAAATAAAATTAAACATCATTTCTTTGGGCCTTGAGATATTCTTCATTAAACCTTAAGTATACAGTTACACACATTTTCCCTAACACATTCTGTCAAGGTGATAGGAGCCAAGTTACATGCAGATGTAACATGTAACAGAAGGACTTGTGGTCTGTAAAATCTCAGTGCAAAATAATGATGCCAATATGGTATTAACATTCTGTTGGTTACTTCTTTTATTGAAAGCATTATGCACATAAAGAAATTGGAGAATATCAGATACTGGACAAGTGTGTATCGTCCGAAAGTGTCTGCAGAACATAAACGGTGCATTAAGAGTCCCTAAACATGTCTCTGATACCCACTATTTAAAATCACTAGACTAGATAAAAAATTTGTATGTGTTCGTCATGCCTTATAGAGAACTAATGGCTTGCTAGTTTTGAACTGATATTTCAAAATTTTTGGCAAAATAACTTCAGCTGAAACAAAATCCGTCGTCTTTTTCTAAAAATATAACAGAAAAAGTTTATTTTGCATATCTTTAGTCAAATTGAAAAATTAGAGAATACTTACATATAGCTCATATTAAATGTACAATTTCTCAAAGTTCTCCCCGGAGCACTCAGCCAAACCAGGAACTTCAAAAGGTGAAAAAAGAGACCAGTACTGATTGCATTTGTACCTCTTCATAAAGAGGTCCGGGATCCAAAGTAAAATTTCCACTCCCTGAAGATGAGTGAATGCATTGTAAAGAGTTTGAAAAACTCAGATGAGAATCTGCTTTTAAATATTAGATGTGATTTGCATTTGGATTTGGATAAGGATTTGGATGCAAAAATTTCTTTACTTTTGGCTTGGTGCTTGGTGCTGGTGATTCATCTGTTAATAACTTTAAGTTCCTTGGTAGAAGGGTTTATCACATCTAATATTTAAAAGCAGATTCTCATCTGATTTTTTCAAACTTTTTACAATGCATTCATTCATCTTCAGGAAGTGGAAATTTTACTTTGGATCCCGGACCTCTTTATGAAGAGGTACAAATGTAATCAGTATTGGTCTCTTTTTTCACCTTCTAAAGTTCCTGGTTTGGCTAAGTGCTCCGGGGAGAACTTTGAGAAGTTGTACATTTAATATGAGTTACATGTAAGTATTCTCTAATTTTCCAATTCGACTAAAGATATAATGCAAAATAAACTTTTTTCTGTTATATTTTTAGAAAAAGACGACGGATTTTGTTTCAACTGAAGTTATTTGATCAAAAATTTTGAAATATAAGTTCAAAACTAGCAAGCCATTAGTTCTCTATAAGGTATGACGAACACATACAAAATTTTTATCTAGTCTAGTGATTTTAAATAGTGGGTATCTGAGACATGTTTAGGGACTCTTAATGCACCGTTTATGTTCTGCAGACACTTTCGGATGATACACACTTGTCTAGTATCTGATATTCTCCAATTTCTTTATGTGCATGATGCTTTCAATAAAAGAACCAACAGAATGTTAATACCATATTGGCATAATTATTTTGCACTGAGATTTTACAGGCCACGAGTCCTTCTGTTACATGTTACATCTGCATGTAACTTGGCTCCTATCACTATGACAGAATGTGTTAGGGAAAATGTGTGTAACTGCATACTTTAGGTTTAATGAAGAATATCTCAAGGCCCAAAGAAATGATGTTTAATTTTATTTTATTTTATTTTCTCAGAAAATCCTTGGAGAGAGACGCTCGTGATGTTATTAGGAGCATTGGATCGAATGAACGTTTCTTCGATATGAATAAACTGGCAGAGGTTTGTTCTTTTACATTAAGGACTCATTATGTTCTAATACTTAATATAACTTTTGGTTTATGCACTTAACACGTTACGAAAGAAACTACTATCAACCTGAATAAATTACTTGATAATAATTCCTATTATGATAGAAATGCAAAAAAGTGGAGCCAGTGGCATCGACCAATTCAAATATGTGTTAAGGGTTTGGCAAACACCTTCATTTTGTTAGGTATGCCCTATGAATCTGAGCAGGTAGTTTCTGGGTTTTTTGGCGGTTATCAACACCTTCATTTTGTTAGGTATGCCCTATGAATCTGAGCAGGTAGTTTCTGGGTTTTTTGGCGGTTATCTCGGGGTCCTGGTTTAGTGTTATTGAGATTGAATCTGAGCAGGTAGTTTCTGGGTTTTTTGGCGGTTATCTCGGGGTCCTGGTTTAGTGTTATTGAGATTTTTCTAAGTTGTTTATTGTCTATACAAGTCCGCGTTCTGAATAAGAACATCTTTGAAGTGTTGTATTCCTCTGCTCTTGAAGCTTGTTCTGTAATTATAGAAAAAAAGAGAAAGTATTGTTCATTTGAGAAAAGTCCTATGAGTAAGATATGACATCTGCTGCTAATATTTAGAGATATTTTTTAGTATTCCACTCATAGCATTAATCTGCAGAAACAACTTCAGCATGATTTCTAGGCCGATACCCCTCATGGCATATGCAATTGGGGATCACTAAAAGATATGATAATGTGGAATAAAGTTCGAAATGCTGTCCTCATTGCTTTGGTGAGCTAGTTGATAGTTTTGCTAAGTTGGTAAACAGTAATATTCGGGTGAAAGACCTAAAAAAGTATTCAAAGAACGTTATAAATATAAGATTTAAAGAGGGGTGAACAACTATTTCTTACCTTAGACTAAGCGTGTCTGTGAATGCAACTTAGCTTTAACCACGAGTTTTCCTTGTCCACGTAAATATCCAACGTTTGACATTGGTCTATATAGCAACCCCGATCAAAAGCCATGTCAATGAGGATCCCCTGATCCATCTCTCATATAGTTCTGACATAACAAAAAGAAATATTACATAAGATAATACATAAATAAATCAATAAAGAAAAAATATGTACATGACTGTTTACATGTAGATTTTCTTAAGATGATGGGGGATATCTGGGATATTAGCAATTGAACCGTTTGCAAGGATAATCTTATCTATGAGAGCTTGAGACCACAGTCACAATTTTATCAGATTGTGCCCAAGGTGTTTATTTATAATGACTACTTCCTCGCTGCAACAAAATAACACTACAATTAGTATGATTATTTACATGCTTTAGACTTACTAAGTGATATCTATTAAAGCAAACCTTAATATCTTTTCATTATAGTCGTAGGAAGCGAATGGTTCAACACATGCAGGCTCTTTCAGAGAAATGAGGGCAACCTTTCGAATCTCATTCCACGCTATCCTATCCTTTAGTGGTCCCCAATTGCATATGTAATAAGGGGTACCAGCTCAGAAATCTTGCTAAAGTTATTTCTGTAGATTGGTGTTATGAGTGAAAAACTAGAAAATATCTATGAATATTAGCAGCAGATGACATACCTTACTCATATGACTTTCCTCAAATGACAATACTTGCTCTTTTTCTGCAATTACAGAAGAAGCTTCTAGAGCAGAGTAATACAACACTTCAAAGATATTCCTATTCAGAACGCGGGCCTGCATAGACAATAAACATCTTAGAAAGATCTCAATAACACTAAACCAGGACCCCAAGATAACCGCCAAAAAACCAGAAACTATGATACCTGCTCAGATTCATAAGGCATTCCTAACAAAATGAAGGTGTCTACAAAGCTATCAACTATCTCATCAGGTAAGTATTCTCTAATTTTACAATTCGACTAAAGATATAATGCAAAATAAACTTTTTTCTGTTTTATATTTAGAAAAAGGTGATAGATTTTGTTCCAGCTGAAGTTATTTAGTCAAAAATTTTAAAATATCAGTTCAAAACTGACAAGCCATTAGTTCTCTATAAGATATGACGAACACATACAAAAAATTTATCTAGTCTAGTGATGTTAAATAGTAGGTATCGGAGACAAGTTTAGGGACTCTTAATGCACCGTTTATGTTCTGCAGTCACTTTCGGACGATACACACTTGTCCCGTATCTGATATTCTCCAATTTCTTTATGTGCATGATGCTTTCAATAAAAGAAGTAACCAACAGAATGTTGGTACCATATTGGCATCATTATTTTGCACTGAGATTTTACAAGCCACGAGTCCTTCTGTTACATGTTACATCTGCATGTAACTTGACTTCTATCACCTTGACAGAATGTGTTAGGGAAAAGGTGTGTAACTATATACTTTAGGTTTAATGAAGAGTATCTCAAGGCCCGTAGACACCATCCATATTAAAAAGCAGATCTGCAAACTTAAAAGTTACTGATTACATTTGTACCACCTCATAAAGAGGTCCGGGATCCAAAGTAAAATTTCCATTCCATGAAGATGAGTGAATGCATTGTAAAAAGTTTACAAAAATCAGATGAGAATATGCTTTTAAATTTGTTAGATGTGATAAACACTTCTACCAAGGAACTTAAAGTTACTAACTGATGAATCACCTACACCGAGTACCAAGCCAAAAGTAAAGAAATTTTTGCATCCAAATGCAAATCTATGTACAATCATATTGATTGATTTACCAATTGGTCCAATACTAACATGAACATGTCATGATTTCTAAGTATAGGCTATTGCTTTTGTCAGCACTATCACCAAGACACTAACCATCACCAGCATCATCTTTTCTTTCACCAGAATAGGCCTGAGGTCAAACTAGAAAGACTGATGAAACTGCAGCCAATTACTAAATTGACACCAAGTTTAGAATGCTAGTTGAGTGATTATTGTACTGTCTTCAAGTTTAGAATGCTAGTTGGGTGACTACTACTCTACTAAGCTGACATTAAGTTTAAAATGCTAGCTGAGTGGTTACGATACTGCCTTGTTTTAATCTCTTGTTGTGACAAAAGAGCGACCACATAAAATATATGTTAACACATACTGTACCATGAAAGCAACTAGTATTTGTTTAGTTCATGTGTAAGGTAGTCATTAAGAGATCAATAAGCTAATGCCAATTTGATATTAGTGTATTATCAATATTTTGGAAAATAATGAGGTAAGCTTCAGACCGATTCCGGTAATGACGAGAAAGCCTTGATCCTCATGAAAAGGTCTGGAAATATTAAGATGACCCATATATCTCAAAATATATATGCAAAAATAAGAAAAATGTTCATGTTAAAAAGGATTGGCAAAGGGGAGAGAGGATTCAAACACTGGGAAGAGCATGGAGAGGCACTATTATGTAAATATTTTAAGAGAACACCAGTGTTTTATTCTAGTATGAGTTTGCAGATCTGCTTTTTAATATGGTTGTATACAAAGCTAAAAATGATTATTTGGTAAGATGTGATTCTCAATTCTAGAAGAACCAATAATGTCGTTACTTTTATCAAAAGGATGTAATAAATTTTTTTTTCAGCAATATGCTTACATCAGATTTCATCTTATGCAACTACAAGCGATTGGCCATTAACACGTCATTAGATTTTATCCACATAATAGATTTGAAGTCATAATAAGTAAAAAATAAAAGTAAAAGCTCCAAAATGTAAGTACAACAAAAACTCAAAATGTCTTGCACACCTTCAAACAGTTATCTTCCAGATCAAGAAACTCTAATATATTTGAGTGCCAAGGCTCCAGAGAAACTGCAACTGCATCTCTATCCAACACAGGAAACAACTTTTCAACCAAACAAATCAATAAATAAACAAATATGATATTCATGAATTTAGTTCTGTAAAATTACCCTTCCTCTCGACTTCCTCTCGACTTCCTCTCGACTTCCTCTGGATCAACATAATGAGCTGGGTCAGTGTATATAGCCTTAGCATTGGAATTATACCATTGGACATTCCATGTGTCCGACTCAATGATCCAATCTTTTGAACAGTATCATCAATTCCTCCAGCAGATTTGATTACATGATCACACTGCTTGAATGTGTCATATATACCCTCAACGGTATCACCTTCCAGACAGAAAATGTAACAGTTGCTGAACTGGCAATAGATAATACAGATAAAATTAGACAACTTCTAACTAGCTTCAATTTATTAAATAGAACTTTACAAAAAACAAATCACCTGCGCCCAATCTGTTCCAGCACAAAATAGAACATTGTTTACGAGGGTATATGATCTTTCTGACATTAACTGATATGTTCTAATCACTGACACGATATCAGACTTATGAGTTCCTATTGAAGCTCTCATCAACATGTGCTGAGGCCTTTCAATAACTACACCATCAACTTTTAGGAGACAAGACCTTTCGAGAACTTTGAAAACAAAGTAGTCATAATAGAAATCTCTATTGTAAATTATCTCTGCATCCAGTCGAATCGCATTCTGTGATAAACACATTTGAATTATGCAAAGTTTATATACATTACTTATTCAAACTAACAACATTGAAGAAAAGTGTTCGGAATAATAGTTAGAAAAGTGTTCGGAATAATAGTTGTATATTAAAATGTAGTTAATCTTTGTTCCGCAAGCTCTACAATAGATTTTTTTTTTTACTGTCAAGAAGAAGAAGAAGAATGAAGCAAAAATAATAATAATGAAACAAAAATAATTATAGTTTTACATTATGAGCCTTAAATTGATTAATTGGATTGTAGTAGACTAGTAGTTATCACATAGAAATTAATTTACTTTTATTCCCATTTGTCCTCTACTCAAAGTTGCACGTAACATGTCAACACCTTATACTCCTACCGAACTTATGTACAATTGTACATAGAAACTAATTTAACTCTTTATCTTTTATTTCAATGGTTCACTGGTGCCTTGTTCAGTTCGATTTTTCTTTCGGTGTTCAGTGAACCTATGAAGCACCGACACGCCGAAACAAGCCCCGATTCCGTGTCCGACGCGTGTCCGTGTCGGACACGCGTCGGACACGAGTTCAACGCCCCGACACGCGTGTCGACTCGCTCCCGACACGGCTGGACTTGTTCCCGACACGGCTGAGAAGGCGACTATGATACCCCGACACGGCTGAGAAGGCAACTACGAACCTGAAGGAGGGAAGACAGTCGAGAGAGTAAACGATGATCTTCGAGGGACGACGAACTTCAAGGGACGACGAGCTTGGAGGAGGACTCGACGACGAGCTTCGAGGGAGGAGTCGACGACGAGATTCGTGGGACGACGAGCTTCGAGGGAGGAGTCGACGACGAGATTCGAGGGAGAACGGTGAAAACCATAGCCCTTCGGATCTGAAGGAGGGGAGAGAGAGAGAGAGAGGAGAGAGGAGCCGATCTGAAGGAGGCGGCTGCTAGGACATGGGAGAATAGTGAGAACCCTAGCCCTAGAACCCATTCCTACCTATTTATATGGGTAGCATTTGTAAATAAAAATTTGGGCTAGGGTTAGTGATATTTTGTACACTTGTAATATTTACTTTCCATTTCAACAATATACTTGTCATGTTTTGAGGAATTCTTGTAATATTTTGGGTATAATTCTAAATTCTAAATGTATGCTTGTAATTGTTAACTCTCTTTTTGGGAGATAAGCTTGTATTTTATATGCTCAAGATGAAAGTAAATGTACGCTTTTGGTTATAATTTTTATATTTTTCTATAATTCTTTTTCTTGTCTTCTTTAACATTATTGTCTTCAATTCTCCAAGAGATCATTGTCATCCTGACGTTTTAATTCACACCTGCAACACACACTTTCCTTTAGTTTCTTATTTATAATATCCACTTTACATAACAAAAAATATGAAAATGTAATAAGAATTTAATTCAATATTGATCTATATATAATAATAATAATAATCTAGTCGAGTCGCCGTGTCCTTTTTTTTTTTGTTTTGTCGTGTCCGTGTCCGTGTCACCGTGTCTGTGCTTCATAGCAGTGAACTGCAGATAAAAGGTAGAAACATAAAACTAAAGATCATACTTCATTGGCATTATCAATCTTATATGTGATGTCTTTTTCCTGAAATTTAACATTTTCTGCATTTCAGTATGATTTATTTGATGTGAATTCAGACATTTTCTTTTCAAGGCCTATTTGTTCTCATGGGATGTGAGAAGACAAACTAAGTCATGATCTCACATGTCCTACTTCGCATAAGACTAGTATTCATACTATTAGATTTCCAGTTTTTCCCCTGTTGATTAGTCAGCATGAATGTTTGCTAAAAATTGACATGAGCTGTTGACTTGTGAAATTTGAAGATGGTTGTAGAATTTGACTACTGTCAACATGGGGGATTCAGGATGCGTGGTGGATGGTTGTAGAATTTATTTACCCTGGACCACTAAATAGTTCCCGTTGTTTTTTTTATTTTTATTGTCACTTGGAGCTCCCCTACCTAGCATGATACTTCTGGTCGGTAATCATGTTATTGTGATTCTGTTCATGGCGTCTAATCTTCCTTGAAACTTAGGGGGGTTATTCATTGATGTAATTTGGGGGATAATGAGATAATTTTTGGAACATCATTTTTTGGTGTTATTCATTGGGGTAAATAGAATTGGAGTCAACTTTATAGTGTTATTGGTTTGTTGGGATAATTGGGGGACAAATACTCCACTTTCCCCTAAATTACACCAACTATATAAAAATCCCCTCCACCCCTTCCTCATAATTACCCCAAATTTACCACATCCTCCATATTGGAACAATGTTGTTCCACTTCGAAGACAATTGGGATAATTTTAAAATATTTTTGTATTACTTAACTAATACATGCTAATTATATTATAAATATATGATATGATATATAAAATATAACATATATTAATATTTTAATAACATAATTTAATAACATATATTAATAATATTATATAATAGTAATTATAGTATAACATATTTATTATAATATTATATAATATTTTAATAACATAATATATTAATAATATTATGTAATATATTATTATATAATATTAATTAGTAATTATAGTATAACGTATTTATTATAATATCATATAATATTTTAATAACATATATTAAAATTTAAATAACATATATATAATATTTTAATAACATATATTATTATATAATATGTTAATATTATTATATAATATTAATTAGTAATTATAGTATAACGTATTTATTATAATATTATATATGACTAATAATTAATAATATAATACTATAGTTTGAAATAATATAATATATTATACTATAAACATGATACCTATTAATATATATTATTGTAATTATCATGTTATATATATGTATTTTAATTTTAATATAATATTTTAAAAATATTACATTGAATAAAGTAAAATATTATAATATTTTATAAAGTATATTATTTCCTATGATACAATATTATAATTATTAAATTAAAAATAATATATTATTAAAATATTATATTAAATATATTTATTCATATATTATATCAATTATTATATAATGTAGTCATACTAATATAATGCTTAATTAGTAATTATTGTATAACATAATTATATTTTGTATAAATAAAATAATGTATTATATTAAATATTATATTATTAAAATATTATATTAAATATATTGATATTATATTATATTAATTATTATATATAGTATAACATGCTAATATAATATAATACAATACAATATAATAATTAATAATAGTAATTTGTAAGTATAGTACAATATATTATATTTTAATATAAATAAAATAATATTTATATTATAATAATATACTAAATAATATACTAAACCAATTGGATAAGTTAATTTAGAAGTAATTAATAGATAAAATTATATTTTAATAAGGTGCCACATCATCAATTATCTCACATGAATTGTCAAATCAAATGCTGAAATTATCTCATTATCCCACTTTATCCCATTTTACCCCACTCAAAATATCCCAAAGGGGTAAAATTGTTCTATTAGAACACTTTTTCCCCTTGGCCCTAATTTGTCCCAACCAATAACTCCCCCTTAGTTATTGTCTACAAGAACATTCAATGTTTATACTTACCATTCTCTTGCTGAGAAAGTCTCTCTATATTTTAGGTTTGCTTGGTACTATGTTAGGGGTAATATCCTTATGAGATTTGATAGTCTCCTTAGGGGCTGTTTGGTTGGGTCAATATTATAGGAAAACTGTAGTTTTGGAACAAAAATTAGCTTTTGGGAGATTTTTGGATTCCAATAACTGCGTTTGTTTCAACTTTTTTTGAGAAATGGTTTCTTAAAAGAGAGAGAACGGTGTTATTTTTTGGACAGCACATTTACTGTCTTTTGGAGCGGAAATGGGCGGGAATCTGACACCCGATTGCCAGCTTAGCTTTCTCAGCTCTCCCTTTTCCCTTCACGTGCCAAATACAGGGGCTGTAACCCCATTACCCTCACCACCTCATCTTCTCGTTCCCTCTTCTTCTACCTTTCCCTCCGCCATTTCGCGCCGCTTCAACGAAAAAATCAACTAGATCTGCTACAATCGTGCGCAAATTGATCTAGTATGGTTGATTAAAACCTTGATTTCTCCTCGAAGAAGCCTAGCGCTTGATTTCAAAAGCAATTTTCTGATTTTTGGGTTATACAAGTCGTTGATTTGCTGTCGTTGGGGGTTTTCATGGTGCATGCCGCCCAAAGTGAATGGAGGCGAGCTTCTCTGATACGGGTGTAGTCGGCACTTCCTCTTTGTTCTAAACTGTGGTTCTGACGGCTTGATCTCTGGTATAGGGGTTTGATTTTTGCCTCTGATCGTCGGGTCTACTCTATATCGAAGATAATGTACAACCTTCTCTTAAATTTTGTTTGATTAAAAATTCAACATTGCATAATAGATAGTTGTTATTTGTATCATCAAGAAATTGATTAAGTTATATGTGCTTTCGAGCTTACTTGTGAAACACTAAGCTTGTCATCATTTGGGTTTTTTGTAGTTTAGGTCTAATTTGGGTTTTTCAAGCTTACCGTGCAACAGGAGTGCAACCTTCTAAGTATGGATGAGTTTGGTGATAAAAATGATGATTGTGAAGCTTACTGTGTAACAGGAGCTGCAACCTTCTAACATTTGTTTTGCAGTATCAGAGCTATATCAACAATTATATTCAAAGAGATACTCAATACATAGATGAGTTTAAGGCAAAATAAAGCAAAGAAGAAGATATACTTTATTGTCAAAATGTAATTTTATATTTTCTTTGCTTAGAAATTTTTACAAACCTTGATCACTCACATACATGCACACACATAGTGTTAGAACACACTAACACATGCTTAGTGTGTTGGTTAACAATAAAAATCTCCTATGTTAGCTATTATAGTTTATAGATATTGAGTGAGTCTTAATACATTTTATTTATACCCCTTAACAATTTGAATCTGGAAAACTCAAAAAACCAAAGTTGTAGATCTCTTCAACAGCTTTTCAACAAATTTTGAATCACCTCATTCCGAGGTCGGATGAGAAAGTTACAACCAAAATACTGAAAATAGAATTCCAGAATTTGTGAGTTTACAATGTAGTCGACTACTATGTCTTGTAGTCGACTACTAAGTAATTTTCTGACTTCACAGAGTCTATTTAGACTCAGTATAGTCGACTACTATGGCTTATAGTCGACTATGTTAGACCCTAGAGTGGGGTGATTAGGGTCTTATGCTAATCTAATCCGATTATATGCCAATAAAAATTAATTAATGAGTTATCCTAGCAAGTATGAAATACAACAAGTTATATGAGCTAGGATAAGCAATATGAACAATAAGATATATCCTAACAAAGAGATATAGGCAATGTATGTGCAAGTATATAAAACTAACACAAGGTGATATATCCTACCAAAGAGATATACAATATGATATATGCAAGGATATGTAAACTAACACAAGGGTAAACAAAATGAACTAGATAGTGGATGAAATAAATGAGCAATACACAATTGGCGATATAAGATAAATGCAAAAGCAAATGCGCCAATGACAAACTTAAACACACTCAAATGATCATGGAGTTCGGACCTTCCGTCCTACGTCTCCGCTCCCCACTCCCGGGGAGAAATCCACTATCACAATCGGGTTTTCTACGCTCATCCGAATAACGTTTACACCTCACAGTGTCGGTTTTCAACGCTCACCGAACAACGTTCACTCTTCACACTCGGTTTTCTAGTTCACCGAAAACTTCACAACACACTCGGTTTCTAGCTCACCGAAAACCTTACAACACTCACAATATAACAAATATAAATTTATTTTCTACAATAGATGAGAACATAATGAAGCACAGCTCAATGTTACAATCTCTCACAACCCTAATATACTATGTATGCAAATACAATAAGCTCATGTGGGTGTGTGCCAACAATGAGACTTAAAACAAATCTAAACTCAATATAAAATAGCTTTAATGAAATGATAATAACAAGTAA